GTTGAAATAAACCAGTTATATCTTAGCATACACAGTTTACTTGATTCATACCAGTACTTACATACATTTTAACGATTTTTAACAATAATTGCAGTTACATCTCTTAATATACAGTACGTTGAAACTCAAAAATTGTAACAACAATTGAAGTTAGATCTTAACATACACATTGTGCATGTTCAAATTGACATCTCAATAAGACATAAATCACATTATTCAATACTCAATTTCTTTCGTTTCTGAGTTTGAGTTGGAATCTATTAGATTACATGCATGTTTAAATGTACAGCAGGATATCACATAAAACAAATTGTTAGATGCTCCTATATACATTTCCAACTTCATAAAGTAAAGTACATTCTATACCTCTCAAGTGATTTGCGTCTAGCCCTAGTCATTGTGTCGATCTGCAGAACCTTGTTCTTTGTTCGGATTCCTTACTTTTCCGTCGGACGGAATGCTTTCTTTTCCTCTCGCAAGTGGATGTACTTCAGCAATGAAGTTTTGTTGAGATTTTTTCCGATGAAACTTCGAAGATAGAAATGGTGGAGAAAGTTTCTCGCAAATGTTTTTTCTGAATTTGAAAAGACACGAATGAAGAATATGGGGGAAGTGAAGCGAATAACTGCTCGAGAAAGAAAAAACGCGCCACTAAGAGAGCCGTTTACTGGTTTACGCATTTTTAGATTAAATAAAGTCAACGGTGTCGTTTTGGGGGCAAGTGCAGGATACTTATGGTGGGCCGGTACCACCATATACGAACTGTCATTACCCTAATTTTTAAAAATGTTGAAGTTTTAATTGTATGTGAATCTATGTTGTTAATAAACATCTCTTTTAATTGAACATCAATGTCTCAATAATGACGCAAATTATATGGTACACCCGGGTGTACATGTACACCCGGTATTTTTGTAATATGTATTACTTTTGTATATTACCCTTGATGTTGGTTGACATTTTTTCTTTTCTCATTCTTTTCTTTCGTTGCTTTGACATGTCTTTTTGCTTCTTTCTTTTCATTTATTTTAATTGTTGCTTTTCGTTTCTTTATTTTTTCTTTAACAATTTTTACTTTATTTTATGATAAAAAATTACTTTATTTTGTTTATTCAATTATTATTTGTATTATATAAAATATTATTTATTATTTAATGTTTGAGTTTGTTTTTTATTTTTCCAATCAACCTTCTAACTTAAATTTTTTAATTTGTGCATCATAAAATATTTTAGGTATTATAGAAAAGAGTTTGTGTTATATTCGAATAAGTCTGATGCTCATTGGAAGTGTTTTAATGTTCATAATAGGTCTGATGCACATTAGAAGTTCATTAATGCTCATTTAACAGAAATTGTGATTTTCATCGCAATAGAGGAGGGTTGATGCTCAATGAAAATGTCATTATGTCAAACTAACAAACCTTACGATTTTCATATCAGTGAACATTTTGTACGTTATGTATGCTCTTCTGGTACTTATCCTATGCTCATTTTCTAAATGTCAAATCAATGTATTTTTTGAAAGTACTATTTTACATTAGATTCACATATTAAAATTCATAGCAGTTGATTATAAATATAATTTAATAAGTTTTTATAAAAGAAAAAATAACAAAAAGAAAGTGAATTAGAAGTTATGAAGCAGAGATCACGATTCTGAATATTAGACTCCTAATTCTCAACATAATAGGTCGGATGCTCATTAAAAGTTCATTAGTGCTCATTCACCAGAAACCGTGATTTTCATCTCAATAGTAGAGATTTGATTCTCAATTAAAATGTCATGATGTGCATATCAATGTGCACTTTGTAAGTTATGTATACTCATTTGGTACTGATGTTGTGCTCATTTTTGAATTGTTCTATCAATGCATATTTCAAAAGTATCAAATTACATTAGACTTGTATATTGAAATTAATATGAATTTATAGATATAATTTAATAAGTTTTTATAAAAGAAAAAATAAGAAAAAGAAAAAAAAAATAGAAGATATGAAGCAGGAATCATGATACTCATTGTTAGTCTCTTAAATACTCAATAAAATAGGTATGGTGCTCATTAAAAGTACAGTATTGCTCATTTAGCGGAAGTCGTGATTTTTAGCTTAAATTACAAAAATGCCACCGATTTTTTTTTGACATATATTAGTCGTTGGGCCGTCTTTCTTACTTGGGCCGGGTGTACGTACACCCGGATGCACTATATACGAACTCCAATAATGGACCAAATTCATGGCAAAATCCTGTTAAGAGGTGATTTATCGCCCATAATAAGTTGATTATTCAAATTCAAGCAAAAGTAAAACCAGAAAATGAGTTGAGATTTCAGACGCTAAGATTATTTTCTTGAATAAACATATCTCAAAACGGTGTTAAGTCGATTGGCATAGCCGTCTTTTAGGAGGTGCAATAGATGTTTTGCGTCGCGGTCCATTTTTATAGGGGGCTCCAAAAATTTAGTATGAGGTAGTAGTCAGTGGCGGAGCCAGAGGTTTGTCCAAGGAGGGGCAAACCAAAGACTAAAAATTTTAAAGTTCGTGTCCAAAATATAATACCAAAATATAATAAGAACAACAATAGCGTAATAATTTAACAAAAAATTATAGTTCATTACATACTACTTGATTTACTTCTGCAACCTAGGCAAATCTCTAAATTTTTCAGGAGCTTTCTTCCAATTACGGAATCCGGTCCTCACAAACACATCATCACCAAATCTCTTTCCTTCATGCCCATGAAAAAGGTAACACCAAAAACAGAAAGCGACATCTTTAGAAATACTATATTCCAACCATTCCCAAGTTTTAAAGTACACAAATTAGACAATCTAAAGGGGTATCCCCAACATAGATTTTAAAGCTCCTTAATGTCTTACCAAATTCAGTTCGTGGAAACTTATGAGATGCTGGTTGACAAGCACCTTTAACAACATATGCTCTCATCACATCATCCCTAATCCCCGACGCATATTCATTAATTGGTTTTCGTAAAAATGGATCACTAATAATATCCCATTCATGTGTACTTTCTGTTCGGGCTCTCTTGTCCCTCTCATTCCTCTCATCTCTAGCAGTATTTTCATTTGACGCAGTGGCATTTTCAACACTAGAGATAGACTGATTAGGAACAATTGAAGAACTAACACCTCCAATCAAAGACCTCTTAGTCTTAATTACAAATTTATCCAAACTCATACTCCTAAATATAACAAAAATAAGTATGAATTAAAAATGTTCCTTATACAAATAGCATTAAATTGCATCTATAACTGAGATTTGAGGATTCACACAAATAATTTCTGACTTTTCGTTAGGGATGAGAGCAAATAATTAATATGGGCATAAATTGGCAGAGAAGAAACTTACTTGAAAATTGCAGAATCTGAGAACAAATGGGGAGAAGTGAGAACTAACTGGAGAAGGAAGGTAGATTTCTGTTGGGGAGTAAAGCCGGAGAGGGAGCGGGCGATGCTGCTTCTCAGTTCTCACGTTCGCTGCCTGCCTGCGTTCTCAACTGCTCGATTCATTTTTTTTGGCGGAGTGGGAAGGGACTGCCGACTGCCTAGGTCTTTTGTTAATGAAGCTTTGAATGTTTAACCCACTTAATGGCTTTAGACTTTAGTGATTACGTTTTGAATTGTTATTTTTTTCATTTTGGGGCTTAGGCTTTAGGATTGTCTAGGTGGCTTGGGCTTTAGAATTGTTTTTTTTTCATTTTTCTACTTATGCCCGTTTTTTTACTTAGCCTTAGACTAGATGCTCATTTGTCTCATTGACTCATTAATCCCCTTTTATTCTATATTTCATTTTTTTTACTTTTTCTGAAAATACTTTTTTATTTATTTGAACACTTCATCTTAAAATAACCTTAAGTTGTACTTATTGTTTTTAAAATTAAAAAAGAAACTGGGGCAAGAAACATATTATAAGTAATACTAGTAAAAAAAATTAGTCGGAGCGGGGGCGCTTGCCCCCCCTTGCCCCCCCCCCCCCCTAGCTCCTCCACTGGTAGTAGTTATAGGTTGATTTTTTTGAATGTTATGTATTATTTCATATTTTGAAATGTCTATAACTTTTACAATCCAAAGATTTACAATCTTTAAAATCCTTTAAAATCTATGTTGGGGATACCCCTTTAGATTGTCTAATTTGTGTACTTTAAACATTGAGAATGTTTGGATAAAAACTTTTCGTACCAAAGCGTCATTTTTTTCAACTGAAAATGCTGCTAAAGGCAGCGTTTTTCACCCCAGCTGCTGAAATACAAACAGGCCCATTGTAAACTTTTTATTTCACTGAATTATCTAGTCTATTTGTATTTTATTGTAAATTTCGTATAGTTTCTTGTTTTAGGGGTCTCAATTCGTCATTTGTAACCGGGATCTCCAAATTCACTAGACAATCTCGTCAATTGGTGTTTTGTCCTATTATTATAAAAATGGTTAGTAATCAAGCATTTGGACAAAATTATCAAATTGGTAAAAAAAAGTGTGACAAGTTGACAAAAACAATTGATACAAGTGTTTTAACGGCGGGTTCCAAATCTGAACACGTCCCTGCACGTATTTTTCTTACATACAGTCTTCATGTGAACTAGAAATCTACCTTATGTGAAGTGTTACAGAAATTTTCAATGACACTTATTTAAAGTCACTATAGGCCATTTTTCTAGTAGTGCACTAATCTATGTAGTATTAATTTTACTAATTTGTGTTCTTTCTTAAGATGTTACACCTTCAAACTATCACTTGTTTGCAATTTCAAACTCCAAATCACTTCCTTATTTGTGCCTCAATAGCTTCCTTCATGTCTTACCTATTTTTAATAGATACGTCCTTTGTTCTTTTTTAGTGACAACCTTCTCATTTTCTCGTTTATCAACATACAACTTTGACTGTTAATATATTTACTTCACTATTAATAAAAAATTAATAATCGGATTTTAAAAACTTGTAATAATACTAATACAACACTTTTTTCCAAAAAAATGTGATGCATTAATAAATAAAATGTACTTATATTAAATGTAGTTAAAGTAGAACATGTGAATAAAAAGAAAATGTAATACAGAGTGGAAAAAATTGCATGGAAATTACTACCACACTTTGCATTTCCAAAACTATGACCCATTTTCCCTTTTCCAAACATATGACTCATATAAATGGAAAACCCTAGCTTCTCAAACATACAGACATTTCTTCATTTGAGACTTGTGCTTCGTTTCTCTCCATCTGCTGCCGACCCACCGCACCCCAGCCGCCGACGCCCCGCCATTCCACCGCACTTCAGCCGCCATTGCCCCACCACTCCACCACACTCTAGCCACCGACGCCCGACGCTCCACCGCACTCCAGTGCCGCCGCCCCAATGCAACTCTTCTTCTTCTCATTCTTATTCGTCGTTGCTTCTTCTACCCGCCACTGCCATCACTGCAATTGAAGATCAAGCATCGTCATCGATGGTCGGGCCGCCCTGTTTCACGAGCGGCGATTAGGTGACGACGGCCAGGCGAGCGACGGCCAGGCGAGCGACGGCTAGGTGACGATGGCCAGGTGAGCGAAGGCATTCAACAGATCTGTGATTTTGACGGTCATTAAAGCTAGGATGAGGTGGGCGACGACAAGTTGGCGGTTACAGACGGTGGTGCGGTTGGGGGCTTGGGTCAGAAGTTGGGGCTTAGGTGTAGGGTTGGGGTCTGGGAGTTTGGATCTGGATGGGATGGTGGTGCAGATCTGTGGGTTGGGGTGGCGTAGGTTTGGCCTGTGGGACAAGGGTACTGGGTGGCGGAAGTCACCGACGGTGTCCGAATTTGGGTGGAAGTCATTGAGTTAGTGATTGGAGTTGGGTGGAAGTCATAGGATTAGTAACCAGAGTTGGGTGGCAGTCACTAGTAGTGACCGGAGTTAGGTAGAAGTCACTGGTCAGTGACGGGAAGTCACCGAGTTAGTGACTGGTGCCAAAGGCGGTGGTGGTGCTGGTGGCGGCCCAATGGTGTTGGGGTCAGCAGGCCGGAGGTGCGGGTGGCTATAGAACATGGACCACTAATCAAATGTATAAAAGAAATAGGAGTATAAAATAGAAGGAATAAATGACTTTTAGTCACATATTTGGAATATTTTAAAACATGTCATATTTTTGTTTTTCTATTCATTTTAGTAATATTGAAAAAAAGGCCTACGGAGTATCATACTCTGTGTATAACTATGTTCAACATTTTTTTTCTTGTTTATTTCAAAAGAAAAAGTAGTAAATTTATATGTAGTGATATTCATTCAAGTATGGATAAAGTTGAAGAAAAAGTTTAGGCATACTCGGGCGGGGCCCAAGTATTTACGTTGTTTTTTTCAAACTATTACTCTTACAGAATTTTTTTGTGATTCCCAAAATGCAATAATCACAAAAATTATATCGTGAGATTGTAACACCGTGTGCATTGTTTACCCAACTCAATACAGTGTAATTTTATATTTAGGTGCTAGAGTACTGTGGTCATCATCAATGGCGGATGGTCTTTGTTCAAAGGTGTTCATGTGAACGTTCAAAATTTTGAAAATAAATTGCAAGAATAGATGTATAGAATTGATATAATTATTTAAACATAGTATATTATTTTTTGTATCTACTGTTTTTTACGCTTTGTTAGTTTTTATTGTTGAGAAAAATATAATTCTTCAACTAATGGATCAAACAATATTACTTTACAACATCTTAATGGTAAAGTATCTTTGATCACCAACATTTATTGGCAAGATCCACCATTGGTCATCATGGTTGCTCCCATGATATAACAACTACAAAAACTCTAACTAAAATTGAAGATATAGGTCCGATGACAGTTCAAAGTCACATTAAGGCCTCATGAGAAGATAAAAAACCAAGACATCACATGCTACCACCACATAGGGATGGAACGGGCCCGGGTCGCCCGGGTCGTGAACCGGCTCGGCCCGCTACTGTGCGGGCCCGGACCGGCCCGGTCTTGGGTAACCGGTTCCGGGCCTAGGCTCGGCCCGAGGATTTGGGCGGGTCGGGTACGGACCTTCAATTTAGTGAACCCGTCGGGCCGGGCCTGGTTCGGGCCTTTTTTTGTTTTTTTTGTTTGGGCTGGGTTTAGTTGGGCTGGACTGGGTATTTCCGAGGGGTTTGGGGGTGGGGGGATAGGAGGTGGGGGTGAAATAAATAAGAAATAAAAAAATGAACCGGAACCGGCCCGGGCCGGAACCGCTGCCTACCCGGGCCGGTTCCGGTTCACCCATTCCCAAAAAAAAGTCTGGGTCCATCCATACTACCATGTTGCTACTCTCACCAATATAAACCACTATGTTCATTATCATCTTCTCTCTCCTTAGTTGTTGAGCTACTCCGTGAAGGTAAAAAAAATCATTGAGAGTAATACCTCCCTCATCTCCCATGGTGAAGCGAATACCCACCCACAAATCTCTCCCTTGTAGGTGGATACTCACCAAATTGTACCACACCACCTTTCAATTATCCTAAACTTAAGACACCTTGTTAGCTCATAGTACGGTAATTCATCCTAAATTCTTCCACCACATCCTTAACATAGTCACTCGTCAAAATAATGTCTAATCCATTTGTTGTCATCTCTCTCTCCAAATACCACTGCTTTTTACCTACAATATTAATCTCGTATGCCTCCTCTACAATCCACTTTATTTCTTGCACACATGTAATGCTTATATTTCTCCTCATCATAAACTCAAGGAAGGAAGAATTCTTTCCTAAAAATTGCAAAAATTAAATGCGGTTATTATTTTTAGTTCTTATTCTTATCAAGACAAATTTTACTTTTATTTCTCTTTTAAGTAGTAGGTGTGGCTATGCCATTGACCCTCACCATACCCTCACATATTTGACGCCATCCCCGAGCATTGGGATGGCATGCCACTTTCGAATGACAATCTAGCAACATTAACATTCTTATCACCACACACAAGACTATGAAGTGTATCACACTTTTGCATTTTTTTTGGATGAACCGTAAAAATATATATCATCCAAAGTAAAGGTTACAAAATTTAAAGCTCCCCCACCCCCTCCTGTGAAGATAGGAGAGGGTTGGAAGAAGCTTTCAATCAATGAACATCACAAAAGATAGCCATAGGACTCAGCATGCCGCGGCTCAAAACAACAAACCAGAACAGAGATGTGGCTAGGTGCACGCACTCAAAACACTTCGGAACTATATACTGAGGCTCCCAAAACAGTCCATAGTAGCTCTATCAAAATGTGACCAACTCATGTGGGTATATGTTGTAGAGTACCTTATATATCACATGTTTGATCTTGGCAATAACCTCTTCCTCCATTTTCTTTTTATCGTCAAATCTGCACTCATTCCTAGCGTGCCAAATGTAGTACACAGTTGCACAAAAGGCAGTGCGGGCAGCTTTCGCTTTCAGCGTTGAACCTCTATACGTCTTCATGCCTTAGCCCCAACCAACTCCTTATGTGATGCCACACCCTACAAGTAAAGGGGCATAGGAAGAAAAGGTGTGGTATTATTTCCAAACCACCCTTGCAGAGATCACACCGATTCACAATATAAAGATAACCGAGGCTATCCTGTGTGGGTAGTCGTTTTCTCAAGGCGAGCCACGCATTAAATGAGAGTTTGGGGGGATGTAGGATTTCCATATGAAACTCATAGGAGTCCTTACTTCACCTTTGACTTTTAGCAAGTCATACACTTTAGCGGAGACTAATTTACCATTAGTGGCTCTAGAAGCAAGGCCCATAATAGTGTCATTGAGGTTATTAAAACAACTTTAGATTTTATCTCGAATAAGACTCAACCGCTTCATGAGTTGTGAGTCTCGGGCGTGTGGGATGAAATCCCACACATTTCTACCTTGAAGGTATACCTCGTTCACCCATTTTACCCAAAGAGTGTCTTTCTTCATATGGACATCCCACAAAGTACGAGAAAGAAGAGTATGATTTCACACCTTGGCATTATGAATGCCAAGTCCCCCTTCTTCTTTTGGGAGACAAATGTCATCCCAAGCTACTTTCGCAAATTTACCACCCCATAGGAAAATACGACATATCGATACAATCCTATCCAAAATAATTTGGGTGACCGGGAAAACTTGGAGCCAAAACGATTGGACCCCTTGGATCACAGACCGTATTAACTCTAGTTTACCGGCATAGGAGATCGTCTTGGTGTTCCAAGCGTTTAGAAAGTCATTTACCGTATCAAGAAGGGGAGCATATTGGGCCACGGAGATTTTTAGCGGTGCTAGTGTGATTCCAAGGTATCTCACCAGGAATACTCCACGACCATAGTCAATGAGGTCCAAGACGTTCTGCAAATCCAACCCGTTAACCCCACCAACAAAAATATTGGATTTATTATGATTAACTCTAACGCCTGATACGTCCCCAAACTCTTTTAGAGCATCAACCAATATTCCAATGGAATATTTGTCTCCTCTCGAGAAGAGCATGAGATCATCTGCATAGGCCAAATGAGTTATTCCCAACGAGCCACAAAGCGGGTGGTGGTTAAATCCCGAGTCTTTAGTTTTGATGGTAAGAAGTCGTGAGAAATATTCAAGGCATACAACAAAGAGCAACGGGGACATTGGATCCCCTTGCTTAATGACACGCTTACCTTTAAAGAAACCATGCAATGTACCATTCAAAGAGACAGAAAATGAAGCGGTAGAAACACACTTCATGATTCACCCCACAAATCTATCGGGGTAGCCCAAACCCCTAAGAACATTGGCAAGAAAGTCCCACGAAATAGTATCATAAGCCTTTCGCAAATCCACCATTATCATACAACGAGGTGAAATTCGCTTCCTATTGTATCCTCTAACAAGTTCCTGGGCAAGGAAAATGTTATCAAACATTACTACATTAGACGGCCATCCACAAACGCACCTTGTGCCTTGTTAATCAAACCCGCAAGGGTCAGGATTATTCTTGTTGCAATAATCTTTGTAATAACCTTGTAAAGCACATTAGTACATGAAATAGGTCTATAATCCGAGACCTTAGGGGAGGGACTATTTTTAGGAATAAGTGCTATCACAGTATGATTTAACTGTTTAAGCAACCTTCCCGAGTTAAAGAACTCCTTAGTCGGCCAAATCACATCATCCCCCACAATATTCCAATTTTTCTTAAAAAACGCCGAGGAATAACCATCCGACCTCGGTGTCTTGTCATCCCCGATATCAAACAAAGCATCTTTAATTTCTTTGCTAGTTATAGGAGATAATAGGCTATCATGAACACTTGGTTCAATCAAAGGGCCGGTTCCTAGTACCGTTTGGTCAATGGAAAGGTTTCCCATCTCGGTGCCAAAAAGGTCAACAAAAAATTTTACAAACTCATTTACAACATGATCAATGGACGTAGTGAGGTTACCATCATCCATCGTAATGGAAGTTATGGTATTCCTAGCCATATTCCTTTTGACGATCACGTGGAAGTATCTTGTTCCCTTGTCAGCCTCAAGGATATTTGACATCACTCGCAGATGGAAGGATGACACATCACTTATACGCAACAATCTAAATGTAATTTGTAGCGATATTCATATTTCAAACCATAGGAATAGGAGTGGACTCGGGCCGGGCCAACCGGCCCGGAACCGGACCGGCCCGCTACTGTGCGGGCCCGGACCGGCCCGGTGAACCGGTTGGTTGCCCGGTTCGGGCCACCCGGCCCGGTGGGATGACGGTTCGGGCTCGGGACCTTCAAAAGGTGAACCGGCCCAGCCGGTTCGGGCCCGGACCGGGCCAATTTATTATTTTTTTTTTTTGAATTTTTTTTAAGATTTTGGGTTGGGCTGGGTATTTTGGGCCATTTGAGGTAGTTAGGGTTGGTTTGGGGGTGAGGGGGGGTTGGAGGTTAACTAGGAAAAGCCAAAAAAAAAACTAGAACCGAGGCCCAACCCGACCCGGCCCGGACCAAGGGGTTACCCGGGCCGGTTCCGGGCCTCCCCTTCATGAACCGAGGCCCGGCCCGGCCCAAGCCTGAACCGGGCCCGAACCGGAACCGGTCCACCCCTACATAGGAACTTTGTTCCATATGGCCAACCATGAATCTAGATTTGAACCATATCGAATTTGTTCCATATGACCATTGTCTACTACCATAAGTGGTGCCATGGAAATGGAGCTATAATCTTCTCCAACCACCAACCTATGAGGTCTCTTTTAACTTCTTGTAGAGCAAATTCATGTGTAATGAACACGGGCAACTAAATTGGCTGGAGCAGATCATCTCACACGCCTTATTAAGTCATTATTATAGTAACCTGTTGGGCTAAAGAAAGGACCATGGTAATAGTTCGTACCATGTGCTTGCAAAAAAAATCAGGACTTACAAAATGTTCTTTAGCATATAAAAATGCTTTTTGTTTAATGTCTAAAAGACTTGCTTGCGCAAAGCATTAGCATGGTGTGATGCTGAAATTAGTGTGTCACTAGGCCCCTAATAATGCTAAGTGTTCCAACTCAATAATCAACTGAGCTTGATTCGGGACAAGATTCACATGTACCCCAAGGGGTGGTGTACCGTAACCCAAAAGCTACC